ATCTACTACTTTGGTTCTGAATTAAATTTCAACTGATTTTAACAGATAAATTTTAGTGACACCAATCATGTTTCTGAAATCATGACTGACGGCGAAACATATCAATATGATCCGAAAAGGAAGAAGCGTTCCTCGGTATGGGTGTTTCCAGATGGCCAACAAAACCATCAAAAGTGAAATGACCGCGGAACATTGGCAAAAAAATGGTGGCCAGATTTTTTGACGAAGTGGACAAGGTCATCACGCAACACCAATGCTAGATAATTGTAAGTCTGTTAACTCAGAATGGTACCTACAGTCGCATTGCCAAGAGCTTTCAAAGCTGTGCAGGAGATGACTAAAGACCGCGCTACGATGAATGATTCTGCACCACGACAATGCGTTTTTAAACTCTGCCCTCAGAACAAAGGCGTTTATTCAAGAATTGGGTATTGAAACCTTACCTCACCCACCTTAAAGCCCCGACTTAGCTCCTAACGACTTCTTTTTATTCCCCAATATAAAAATTGACAAATTTAATATAATTTAAAAAATTTCTATAATCATACTTTTTGTTTGACATGTTTCTTTAATTACTTTATAAATGACTTGACTTTATTTATTTGACATAAAAAAATTAAAGTTCACATTAAAAAAAAAAATATGCTTAAAATTTATTCTTAGGATATAAATGCATAAAAATGTAGACTGGCGAGTGTGATAGTAAAAAAATTATAAAACTAGAGAGTTGTCTAAGTTATACACGTAAGTTTAATCAAAATATATATCATATATTAATAAATATATATAATATATTAAATAAAGTTTTATTTAAGCCTGTATGTAATACGATACATTAAAATGTGATATAATTAAATGTTTAATTATAAAAATGTATTATTGCAATAAGAAGTTTATATGCCATGTGTATCACAATAAGCCAAAAATTAATGTTACTAAGTCGCGTTTATATAAATATCCTAATATCCGAATAAAATATGCTTTCAAATTATTTTTTGTTTAATACAGGAATACCCAGTAAAATTAATATCGCGATTATATTTATATTTAACTATATATAACTATATATAGTTATATATAACTATATATAACTATATATAGTTATATATAACTAATAATATACAATTATAATTCATATACAATTATATAAGGCCATTTGCCATATATAATTATATATGATATTATATATAATTATATATAATTTTTTTTCCCCGGGCACTATAAAAAATAAGATGAAAGGCAAGTTTTTTTCGAATGCTGTCGAATCAGCCATTTTTGACCTGTCGGAGGGAGACTGGACTAAGTGTTACCATTACTTTTTTTACGTGTGGAAACCCCCTCTTATCTATTATATTATTCTATTCGAATACTTTATTCTATACCAATAGTACTCGTATAAAGCTGATCAGTTTGTTTGTTTGGTTTGTTATACGCACTAATCAGAACACAAGAACTACTGGTTCGAATTGAAAAAATATTCTAGTGTTGGATAGCCCATTTATCGAGGAAGGCTATAAAACATCACACTATGATCAATAAGGAGCTGAGAGTCAATGAAAAATGTTACAAAAACGGGGATATTTTAAGCTTTTTGAGAGATACATGTCGCGACAAAGTTGCGTGGGTCATCCCCATCTAAATAAAATTGCTCGGTGACATTTTTGAAAACATAACCGACTTGCTTTAAGTACAACATCTAAGTACTTTTATTAATCATTTGAAAATTGTTTCTTCTGGCGATGGTACGGAATGAGCATTCTTCTGAAAGCTTTAAAATAAAACGGGAACTATGTTTGTATACAGACTAAGTAGAGGTAAGTAGTTAAAAGTTCTCGGATTTTCTGGCAATTAATTAAAGGTATTCGACCTTGACCTAATCGACCTATTGCTAACATTCCCCAATCAATCTGTAAAAGCAATGTCCCTTTCCTGCCATTGCCGTATCTTTTTATTCCGCCATCTCTTTCAACATTGCTGATTATCACCACCCCTATTCATCCCATGGGTGTCGTAAGAACCGATTAAGGTAGCAAACTACGCAAGACAACAGCACTGCAAATAGAAGGAAAACTTGAAACAAACACTATAGCAATCCGTCTGGCCAGCGTCGTATAGTAAGCCAAAATCTAATTTATAAGGAAAGGCCTATGTCCAGCAGGGGACAGTGTTAAAGGCGGTTAATGATGATGACGTACGTGGAATTAAATTGTAGTTGGCAAATGGGGTCGTTTAATAACCTTCAAACGACCCCCATTTGCCAACTACAATTCGACCTACCCCTTCGGGTATAGTAGCGATTGTATGTAAATTTGTGTTTAACCATGTAACTACTACCATTTTGAGGCCAGTCAGTTCTGAAGTACGTCATTATGTCCTATTAACGTCATCGGAAGTGAAAGATACGACTGCAAAAAATAACAAAAAGGGATTGCAAGCTTTCGGTAAGAATTTAATTTAAGGGCTTATTTCTGCCGTCAGCTTGTAGGTAATTATCCGAAAATTATCTGGTGAATTGTTGGTCGTAAAAAATAAACGTTAATTTATGAAGTAGCTTTGCTTGTTTCGGCCTTTTGTACTGAAGTTTGTACTTTTGGAATTCCGTTATTAATATAAAAATGCTTGATTTTATTCACTAAATTATCCATCTATCCAAATGTGGTGCTGGTGGTGCGAATGATGAGTATCAGTTGGATAGAGAAAAGAACCAATGAGTAAGTCCACCACCAACAGCCTATAACAGTCCACTGCTGGACATAGGCCTCCCCTCAGAAAGGAGGTTTTGGCCTACTATACCACGCTGACCAAACGGGTTGGTATAGGGTTTGTTTCAAGTTTTCCTTCTCTTAGCAGTGCTGTCGTCCTGCGTAGTTTGCTCCGTTAGTCGGCTCTTACGACACCAAGTGAGTGAGTAAGTCTTACTAATGGTAAACGAAGAGAGGCAATTGTTGAATGCCATTAAAAACAGAAGAGGCAAACTTTTTGGTCACTAAATAAGACACGACAACTTCTTCAGAATAATACTGGAAGGAAAAATAGAAGGCAAGTTAAAACGAGGACGACCTAGATCAACATACATACAGCAAGTGAAGGAGAAAGTGGGAATCGTGGCCTGACAACAGGTCAAACTGATCGAAGGAAATAGAGAGGAGTGGCGATTCCTCCACCGACAAGGACTTGCACCGATATATTTTTTTTTTAAATAAAAACTTTTATTTTGCGCTTTGAAGATTGATTATGTATATCGGTGTATGAGGGAGCATTGGGGAGGGAGGGGGTTTTAGCACAGTCAAGTTTATCTTTCAATAAAATGCCACAAAATATTCGAGTAACAATATTAAGATAAGCGAACTATCTACCAAGTTGTTTGAAAGGAACGCTCGTTACCCAGGTCAGTCTGGCATAGTCATACTGGCCCTTATCCATTACTTTGGCGACAAAATAAATATAAATCACTCTTTAAATATCTCTTAAACATACTCTAAAACTGTCAAGCAGTCTTCTAAGCTTTTCCTAGAAAGCTTTTCCATGACTGTTCTGGTAAAGCGCTCATAAGATTAGCTACATAACAGATTTGCTACACAACTTTCTAGCAGAACTTTCTTTGACGTACCTAAACGTAACGCTACGCTAATCCAGAGAATTAGGGGAACGGTAAAGAGGAGCGCTTATTAGATTAGCTACATAATAGATTTCTTACACAACTTTCTAATAGGACTTTCTTTGTCGTACCTTAACATAACGTAATGCAATTCCAGAGAATCAGCGTAGCTGTAAAGCGAAGCACTTATTAGATTAGCTACATAATAGATTTGTTACACAACTTTCTAATAGGACTTTCTTTGTCGTACCTTAACATAACGTAATGCAATTCCAGAGAATTAGCATAGCTGTAAAGCGGAGCGCTTATTAGATTAGCTACATAATAGATTTGTTACACAACTTTCTAATAGGACTTTCTTTGTCGTACCTTAGCATAACGTAATGCTAATTCCAGAGAATTAGCATTGCTGTTGAGTGAAGCGCTTACAAGATTGACTACATAAGAGATTTGCTGTGTACAATGCTGATTCCAGAGAATTATGTAGTTTAGAAATTACTACTACTAGCTTTACGAGTATAATTATCGACTGAAAAGATTAATCTAGTATTGAAATAAAATTTTGTCCTGAATATTGCATATGAACTTATCATTGCATTTGACTTTCAAATACCTTATTATAAATATAAATCCATACTTATTAAACCTGATAGAACAAATTAATGCGAAAATGAGTTTGTCTACAAACCAAACCAATCATTGTGAAATTTTGTTGAAAAGTTGATTAGACAAAAAAAGTATGCTCCCTGATGGAGAAATTGATTGTAAAAATGGGTAAAAAAAAACTAATAATTCTAGTGAGATAAATTTGTCTCACAGTTAAATATACACCAAAGTAAAATATTAATGTTAGACAACTACAGACTCCGAAACGGCCTACATACTACGAACATTACTTAATAACGACTGCAATTTATAAGTATTTTTATATTCCAGGCAAGGTGTTTTATTTACAAAAATGATATGGTTTCATTTCAGTACGGGCACAAAAAGTTGATTTATGAAATGCTCACTCCTGTTTCTACGTAAAAACTCATCCCGTTGTAAAAATGGTAATGTATGTGCTTAGGCATGGGGCTTATGCGTTACGAGTGAACACTTCACAAAACATTTGTAAATTAAAATAAACATACACTGTAACGCAGAAATATTATTTATTATGTCATGAAAAACGTGATTGAAATACAAAACTACAATTCAACAAATAATATTTTAAATCATAAGTAAAAATGTAGTAGATTTAAGCGTTATTACATAGCATTATTAACGTCCAGTCTCATGATTTGTTTTTAAACCACAGGTAAGAAGAAATAGGATAATAGGTAAGGAAAAAGTACTATTCATCTTGTACCAATGTTTTTTTTTGTTGAAAGTTTTCAACTCCTATTTAGAAAATCGTAAATTATGCCGGTTTCGGCACTTCGTTACTAATGTTCGCAAGTATAAGATTCTTGTCAGTTCCATCAGCCTTCTTAGGTTCTAGGGCTTCCCTCATTTCCAATGCACAGGTATCGGTTTCTAATGATTGGTTCTTGTCGTTCAGATCAATCTCTATTTTGATGGATGTAGCTTCAAGGGCGTTATAAGTAGCTCTGTGGATATAAAGTTATACCGAGTAATAACTTGAATTTAGAAGAAGTATAAATACTAGCTAAATGCTAGATGTTCATATCCATATTAGAACTTTTTTAACGAATTTTTATGTATTTTTTATATTTCTACTACTATTATATTCTATTCTATTAAATCAATAAAAGCGATAAAATTAAATAATGTAGATCCGTTTACTATTCGCAAAAAAACAACAATCATGCGTATCTTGTTAATTTATTTATTACCTCCTCGTATCTTGTTAATTTATTTATTATCTTCCAATTGGCTCGGTGGATTTTGACAGTTAATGTATTGTTTTATCTGCCTCAAAAACTCAAGTGTCCTTAGATGGCTTTTTGAAGATAAAAACGAAATGGATTTTAGAGCAAAATAGTATTGAGTAAAAAAAAAACAAACCTATCGAATAATTTATCAAAAACAAGAAAATTCATTTTTCTTATTTATTTATGTTTATTTATAAGTTTTTGATATCGTAAACACGTTTGTGTTAGGATCTCTGTTTCGATCTTTTTAGTGTATTACTTTTAAATTGTCTTATTGCAGGCAGGTTTTAGATTTTTTTAAATTATTACTTGTTGAATGTTTTTTGATAAAAATATTAAGTTTTTGTATAAGTTGAAACCAAAAAGTCAGGCATTTAAATGATTTTTGTAACTACACGCAGTTCTGTTCTGATTTGAATTTATAAATAATTTAAAGAAAATAAATTCTATTTTTTAACTTTAGGATATACATTGTTGATTTGTTTTCCGCTTCACCAACAAAAAATATCCAATGTGAATCGTATCATAAAACTAAAGTGGCAAAATAAGTCTATAAGTTATTGTGTGGTTTCGGCTATAAAAGTAGAACTCCATTAGTTTTTGTGGGTGCCATAAACATGACAAGGGATTATGTCAAAAGGCGGACAATAGAACGCATGGAACATTGATGACGCAAAACAAAAGGCGTATTTATTTATAAAGTGATTATTATTAACGAACGAAAATTGAAGCGAATAATAGGTATTATATAGATACATCCGAAATGCCTTACGTTTCGACCAGGTTGTACTGGTTTTCAGTGGATGTGGTCGTGGTCACAGATGGTTCTGTCCTCCAGTCTATCTGTGACCACGGTCATCATGTATGTGCCACCTATTAATCGCGTAAATTTTCCTTAGTACTAATTATCTACCATCGAACGCCAAAGTGTTAATATTAGTTAAGTTACTGATTTGATAACTCTTGTTGCCGCAGTTATTAAAAAGTCTCGGGAGATAATGCATAAAAATAATACTGTAAAATGTGGGTTGGTGAATATTGACCAACTCACAACCGATAGGATTTATTTAATACTTGGGAACTTACTTTGCGCAATCTAATTTCTCTTGCAACTGGCGTATCGTCTCTCTCAAGCTTCGGACTTCTTCCTTTAGCCCTATATCTGCTTCGTCGGCAGCCAGTTCATTTCCTGGCCGATATCCTCTTGTTTCCAACCGAGTTTCAGCTACTTTCAACGAATTTATTTTGTCCGCAAACTGTTCACCCATAGTTTTCAGTTCAGTTGCTAACTTGTCCATATTTTCTGCCATCTGTAATAAAGAATTTATGGTTTTAAGACTGAAAAATCAAATGAGGTACAGGAAGCGGTAAATATAATTTTAGATAATAGGGTCTTGAAAAAATGTGATTTTAAATCTGTTAATGTTATGAAAGGTAATAAGCACTCTTATGTGAAATAAAAGTATAGGTTGTACTATATGTTATACTGTATTATAAATTCGATTTGACCAGAAGGATACCACGACCGCATAGAAAATCGATGTTGAGTAATTTTTCATTGCTTCTTTTAAATAAATTTCATAAATTCTAAGGTTGGGAGGATATGGGGATGAGTACTCCAAGTGCGCTAACGCATTTATCTCTTGAGTTTCAAGGGTCCATGAGCAGTGGTAGTCACTGATTATCAGGTGATCTGTCTGCTTGTTTGCTCCCTAAACCATAAAAATATTGTAATGAAAAATGCATGCTTGGATTTGACTTGTTCTAAAGATGCACTTTCTGTATACCTTCATCTTCTGCCATTGCAATTCATTTCTGGCTCGCTGTGTTTCGTAGATGCGTCTACGTAGCATATAATTCGTGACGTCAGTCTGAGCCCTAAGCGCGTTTCTAGCGCGACCCCTAGCTACGAACAGGGACTCGCGAAGACGAAGCGTATCTTGAAGTTCTGACACCGCCATATTTTTGGTTGCCTCGCATTTCTCCAGCCATTGTTGGTACGTCAACATCCTGATATAAAATAGTATTATTTCAATTTAAGGATTTTCTCCAGTTATCAGAACTATTAAAGCCCATATAAAATGAGAAATCATAATTTATAAATTCCATATTTAAATGCTTTGGCTTTTTTTAGCGTATTTCACAGCTTTGGTCAGCTATAATTTCATTTTACAGTAAATTTATGTGATCTTTCGTTTGATGCACCTACATTAAAATAAACTTTGATTTGATTTGATTCATTGGAATCAAACCAAACAAACCATTACTGAGAAACCCGTTTGATGAAAACGCATTTAAGAAATGCCAAAAATAAATGTACACGTAGAAAGATTAATTTAAAAACAAATAATAGGTAATGGTTTAAGTTCAAGATTTATCATCTTTAGAATTGGTATTTTAAAGAATGAAGTTAAGAAGTCTCTGATGGGTGTATGCTAATAATTGAATTTTTAAGTGTATATAATCTAAAGAAAATCATTATTGATAAAGTTTTGCTTGAGCTAGTTTTGGTCCAGTGGCTACAATAAACCTGGATAATATCACGACTTAAGTATCACTGTCATGGTTAGTTTACCGATAAATTAGTTTATTTCAGCACATCAAAAATAATGAAGTCATCAGTCATTTAACAAGTTCCAGATGTCGGAATATATCGAATAAGGGATCGCGACTGAGTTAATGTTGGATGGACTGTGTAATGTGGATAGTCTATTCAATAAGAGATGAGTTGGTTGCCTAACTAGAGGTCGCAGATTGCTACAAGGCCGCCCAATGTACTACTGTTTCTCAATCGATTACACGTGATTGCTTTGTTTCATTTATTGTGTACTATAAACAGGACCAATCGTAAACAGGACTAAATCCTCAATCAAGAATATACTAAATTGCCGATTAGATTTTAAAGGCGGTTTGAGGAAAACCTCAAATTGTTACCAAAGTTATGACGTCAAAGTGACCTTACGTATGCTTAAAAAATTATTTTACAATCACAACACACTAGGGTATATCTTTTGTTTGTTATGTTCAGATATCATGTATAATTAATAAAATTAGAAGTTAAGAAACCAATAATTGTTGTGATTCTTTAAACAACCATTGTACAAACATGAAATATTTTAAAATAGCCAATCCTTAGAGTTGTATTAGTTGTTTTTATTCTAATGTTAATTTTGAAGACTTCAAAAAGAAAATTAATTGTATTAATTAAATATAATTCATTGACGATGATAGTAAAATAAAGTTGCGTCCAACGCCAAATTTTTTAATAAGGCCAGATAATCTAAAGAGAACCTTTTAAGTCTCAGGTGCAACTAGCTCCTACGGAGTATCGTAACTTTAAACTAACAAATTTAATTGTTTATAAGTTTAAGCATTTGTTAGGAGTCTTAGGGATCTTTTGTAATAAGTGGTATATATCTAACCTAAAAGAAAATAGTTCTAATAACCGACAGTTAATAAATCCAAATGAAAAAAGAATGTCAGGTGCTCATTCTTTTTACCCTACTGCCAAGGAGGGGTGATGTGTGTTTGTTTGTAAATTAAAATAAATTAAAAACCCAAGTGTCCTTAGATGGCTTTTTGAAAAAAAATATGGCGGATTATTGCCGTAAAATAGTAGTAGGTAAAAAAAGTGGTGTAGTAAAAAATTAACCAAACCTTTCTAATAGTACGAGTAGATCAAAACCAAGAAAATTTAAAGCGGTTTACAAAAATATGTATAAGTTATATATATTTTGATAGCGTAAAATGGTCCATGTTTGTGTGTCCAACACAGTGCATTACTTTTAAATTGTCTTTTTGCAGTCGGGTTTTTGATTTATTTAATTATTACCTGTTTTCATCTTTTTGGTAATTTAGTTATATTGCCATTAAATATTATGTTAAAAACTAAATATAACAATGTGATATTTATGCAGTGTAAAATATGAAAAGTTAAGAGGAGTTTCCTTCGGCTTTTATAGTACAACCCAATAAATAACTCTTTGGTCACGAGTTAATTGCTGTGTGGAAATCCTCCAGATACTAGCTCAACGAGCGCCCGGCGAAGCGATCATGTCGGAATTGATGTTCCATAACGTCTATGGCTAGGAGCTCTGGTATAATCTAGGAATTCCCTGAATCCTCTACGGACTTGACTATAGACACAGTCGTGACTTCAATCCTTATCACACCCTATTGTTATAAGAATATGCCAGTGATGAGGATATCAAATTACTATTATTCTTGTCTACTTCTAAAATTAATCTAGATCTAAAATATAGATCTAAAATTTTAGGGTATTTTATGACACCACCACTGCGATGGCCAGACCGTGGACACGGCTCTCCACACGCTGGCAGAGTGCCCGGCGTGGGTTGAGCAGAGGCGAGACCTCGTGGCGGCCATCGGAGTGGGAGTTCTCTCGCTCGATAGCCTGATTGCGGCTATCGTGCGGAGCGAGAGTGCGTGGAACTCTGCCGTCTCCTTCTGCGAGCAAGTTATGCTCGCGAAGGAGACGGCGGAGCGGGACCGGGAGAGGTTTAGAACTCTCCCGGCCCGCCAGGCCCGGGCACGGGCCAGGCAGCGCAGGCGACTCAGGCGCCGGAGGTCGCAGAACGACCTCCGTCCTCCATAAGCGCAGGCCTGGGGGTGACAGGTGAGGCCATCTGTCACCCTAGCAGAAGCAGGCCGGGGTGGCGGCGAGCGCGTTGCGAAGCGCGCTCGCTTCCAGGGAGCACAGGGAACATGGGGTTCCCACACGGGGCGGGGGTCGTCTACTCGTCTGTAGATGACCCGAGGTATGTCGGGGCGCCAGGGCCTTCCTTTCTAGGGTATACCTGGTTCCCCGGCTATTAGTACCCGGCGAAGGCGTGCGGTTTTAGTCGGTTCGAGTCCGACATGCCACCGACAGGTGGTATCCGAGGGGATTTCCGCACGGAAAAAAAAAAAAAAAAAAAAAAAAAAAGGGTATTTTATGACACTATACGTCGAACACAGTCCTCTATTTTCAAACAAAGCTGAGTCTTACTATGGGAACCAGACTGCCTACAAATTTAAATCTAAATATATGTACGTATTATAGATAAATTACACCTAGGCACTATAGAAATGCTTGTGTTCATTACAAAATCAACTGTCCTAGATGTGAATCGAAGCAACCATCTCTGGTTCAGTGGTCGGGAAAATTCGCTAGCCACTAGGCCAAAAGACCAGTCTATTATTTATAAGGGAGCAGATGATTACTGATAATGTAACTCTTACCTAGCGGGAGTCTTCAAGGAATCCGTTTTATACGTTATATTGGCGCTCTCTTTACTCAAGTTAAGCATATCTTTATCAATTTGGAGGGCTTCATTTTTATCATTTAAGTCCAGTTGGAGCTTAAATTTTACGACTTCTAATTTGTTTATCTTCTCCCAAGCGGATTGACATCGGTCAATCAAAAGTTTCTTGTTACTTTCAGTTACGCAGAGTTCCTGTTGACATATTATGAAATATGAATCTTTGTATTCGAGGGTCGTATAGTAGGCCAAAACCTCCTTTCTAAGGAAAGGCTTAAGTCCAGAAGTAGACTATTAAAAACTGATGATTGATGTATTCGACAAATAAATTAAACACATACATACACGCACACCACAAGATAAGACAAAGAGCTATTAGACAAATTTTTTTAGTCACAATAATTGTGTCAAAGGTCGAGTATAGAAATTAGTTTTTAACAAATTGTGAGTACAAATTTTAAAGATAAGCTGCCTTTTCTGTATTGGTCGAGGATAGAAATTTGTTTTCAACAAATTGCGAGTACTATTTTTTTTTTCTTTGTCTTTAAAAATACAACTCCCGCACTAGGAATATATCCTGCGTCGCGGGGGACTTTAAAAGCATACATTAAATGGACACAAAGAACACACAGCCTCAGAACAACAATTTTTGAAGCACACAAAGTGTTATCCCATGTGTGTCCGATCCCCGGACCCACAACACTCAGCGCAGTAGGAAGCGGCGAGGTGACCGCTTAAACTACTACGCCATCCGTGCAGTCAATTTTATATGGAAGCTGCAATTTCTGTATTCCTGTTATTACTAAATAAATAACTAATTCCGTAATAGCAGGGTAACACATTTTTTACAGGAATTGTAGTTTTAACGTTTCAGTAACCGTATTGAATTAATTACAATAGAATAATCTAACCTTCTTTAATTCAGTATCAGCAAGATCATAAGTTAACTCAGTGCTTCTCCTACCATCTCTGTTCGACAGACATTCCGAAGTCACAAGTAGAGGTAAGTTTAGTTGTTCCAATTCTCTTTCGGTGGAGGCTTTTTCATCCTTCAAGCTTGTCATTTCGCGGTCCAGTAGATCCATGAGTTCCTGAAGTGTGGACCTCCATTGCTCGATTTCGTAGACTCTGCAAAAAAAAAAAAAAAAGTTCCAGATCACGAGTGACAAAAATTCAAACAATGAACACAAACACATCAATATTTTTCCCGCCTGGTAACCGAATCTCAACTTGACGTGGCGTAGCAGCGAGGTGACCGCTTTAACCATTGCCCGGCAACTAAGAACGTGAAATTAAAAGTTCATTTTGGAAAATTTATCTTACACAAACACAATTTTCAAATTTATACACATCTTAAAAAAAACAAAATTTACGTTTCTTTCTTCCATTGCCATTCATTTATGGTCGTGCTAACGTTTTTCTAAGTAAATTTTATTTAGACCTTTGTTGTTTAGTCTGCGACTATAAATTTACTTGAAATGAGAATTTACCTGGATCTAAGACGGTTGTTGTTATGATAGCCGTCCCACTCAGTTTTGATGCGAGTTTCATTGCGAAGCTGATACGCACTATAACGTAGATCAAAAGCGTCCGCCCTTCTGGTGTCAGAAGTTACCTGTTGTACAAAATATAGGCTTTGTAACATAATAAAGGGTTAGATGTTAGAAAATAAGTCTTCAGTAAACTATGTATTTATACATTAAATTGAAGCACTTGTATAAATAGTGTCTTTAATTACTACTATATTGAAAACATAAATAGATAAAGTTTTGGTAACAAAGTAAAAGTTGGCGGTTTCAATGTACCCGCAAAGTATCATTGACGAATTTGAATTATTGAATCATTTAATAGTTACTTACATAACTTGAAATATACGATAATAATTTTAGAGTTCATATTAGAAAAGCAAAACCTAACTCTCACTCAACTCAATCACCGATAACGAATAAATAAAAAAATTATAATACTAGCAGTCTATTTTAGCTTGAATTTAGTATTCACATCATCCCTATAATTCAATCCAAGTATAATTCAATCAACGAATTTAAAGCCAACGGATTCATAAATTTAGATTTCGATCTAAACCAACTAGAACAGTTACAGAATAAAGATTGTAAGAAAAACTCTTGAAAAGCATCGTTTATATTCATCGTGATCAGTCCAAACATTGCTTTTTAGAAAATAAAATGCAGAAATATACGACAATGAGTTTGACTTTAACCGAAAATTATTATTTGATGCAGTGGCGTGTATCCTAGGGCTAAGGGGGTAACTGCCTAGTGTGGCGCGACGCTAGGGGCCGTTTGAAACACTTACAGGTAGGACACCTAAAATAATGAAGAAGAAAATATTTACGTTCCGTTATAAACGAAAAATTCTTAAACAATTTAGTTATCTATCTATATAAATAAATAAAATTGAAGTGTCTTTGTGTGGGTTTGTAATGTCAAAAATATAGGTTTTTTCATGCTCATACGGTTATTTCCACCATACCTGTCTAAAAACCAGTTTTTTTGTCTGTCTGTTTGTTCCGGGTAATCATGTAAACGACTGGACCGATGTCGATAATATTTTACTACCAGGTAGCCGTCTACATAAGGAGTAACTTAGGCTATTTTTTTAACCGACTTCAAAAAGGAAGGATGAAGTTGTCAATTCGGTTGTTTATTTTTTTATGTACATAAATAAATGGCATAAATAACTCCGTCGTATATGGACGGATTTTCTAAATTCTTTTTATTTGAAAGGGCTTTCATAAACATCTGATGAACTCTTCAAAAATAGATGGCAAAGGATTGCTGCTAGGTTTTTAGTATTCTCTGTGAGTATTATTGTTAAATTTTTTTAAAACAAGGATTTATCCTACAAAAAAACCCAACAAAATTTTGCCCAATCCGAGAATCGAACCCGAGGCCTCACGTATCGTACTCCACCTAAGGCAGCTAAACCTAAGGCGTTCGAGCGTCTGCGTGCAATACCGATGAAGCCACCCATTTTCCCGTGCGGAAATCGCCCTTCGGACATCCTCCACCGGCTGTCCTTGTGGATGTGGTTATGAATTTCATTTCCGACCAAGTTATTTTTATCCTTATTTAATAAGTTTAGAAATTATATTACTTAATTTCGATACAATTATACCGCGGCATGTTGTGGAACGTCGCGGGACGCCGCAACATGTCGTGTCATGCGGTTTAATTCTCCAGATTATCATGCCACCATATTGCGCCATTTGCCGACAACACCACTACATTCGGCTTATTTATTTCAATTACTTTGGCGCGGTGGTTGTATCGAAAATAATATGAATTCTAAACACATTGAAATATGGATAAAAAGAACTTTATGAGAAATTAAATCCTTTACAAAGCTGTACCGTGTCGCGACGTCAGTCAGCGCCGACTCTATTGGCTTTCTGCGAGATGCCACGACGTGACGCAGTATGCTTTGGCATGCTACTTTATACCATAGCATCCTACGGCTGCCGAACGACACCCTGCTGTGCCGTGCCTTGCCGCGACGTTAATCAGCGCCGGTTCTAACACCGCACGCCAGGCTATCTCGGGCAGTAGCCAGGCAAAAGTGGAACCTAGAATGGAAATCCCTGATACCTCGACGGGCCCCGAGTCATTTACATTTTATGGATAGTCTCCTGATGTGCAGTGACCGCGGTTTCCCTCTCAATGACCCTAAAGGAGCTCCGGAGCGCGTCGCGTCGCCACCTGTCACCTCCAGACCCGGTGCTTATGAAGGACGAAGATCATTCAGCGACCACCAGCGCTTAAGCCGCCTGCCTCGTCCAATCCCGGGCCTAGTGAGCCGGGAAAGGGTTCTTAGACCCTCCTGGTCCCACTTCGCCGCGCAGGAGGAATTAGTCATTCCGTACCATGGTCGCAATCAGTCACGAAGTCATGCCTCTGTTCCATACACGTTGGACCTTCTGGTAGCGTGTAAAGCATCATGACCACGCTCTGGCCATCAAAGTGGCAGCACCCGGGCGTTGGCTCTTTGCGGATCAGACATAGGGGACCTTCAGAGCGTCCTTTGCATCAGCCAATATCAGAGGGTCCCGTGTTTCCTATTGAGTCAATCCTCCATAATGCGTCTTAGCGTCGCAATAACAGCGTGCCAGAATTAAGCCACCCCATAATCTTTCGATACGACCTTCAAACCTTCAAGAAAAGAGCGTACTCCTTCCTAAAAGGCCGGTAACGAGTTTGTGGCTACTGAGTTGCAGACGTTCATGGGTGGCGATGGTCACTTTCCATCAGGTGACCCGAATGCTCGTTTGCTGCCTCTAACATAAATAAAAACGTAAAACTTTCGCCCAGTACAGGATATTTTGGAACCCCGCTCCCGCATCCTTACTGATACAAATTATACATACTTATTACTTACGTTTAATAAAGCAATTCGAAGCCTATAAACATTTGCATTTATTTTCGCACTAGGTGTTACTATGATGAAATAAAAATACATTAGACATGCAAGTTATGACAAAGTTTCGTTTTCGTTTCGATTTCTATTTTTGCCGCCCCCCTTGAAAATTCCGCCTGTGCGCGGTGCACGCTCTGCACACCTGTACTCGGCGGCCCAGAGGCAGCGCTTTTCAAACTCCACGCGAACAAAGTCGCGGGTACCAGCTAGTTATATTATTAGAAGGCTAGAATTTCTAAATTTCTTGGGCGCAGGGCAAAAATCTTTAGAATGCTATGAGTGCGTCAAAAGTTTTTTTTATAAAGAAAATATTTACTATACTATACTATAGGTACTTTGAAAAGCTTATGAATGAAGAGAATGCATGAATCCGAGTACTGAAAGATCTAGTGAACGAGATTACTCTAAATAAAGTCAGATTGGCAGTACCAAGTATGAAAAATGGAAAAACAGTGGGCCCCAACGGTTTACCAGTAGAAGTTTGTAGGTTACTGAAAAAAGATGGATATGAGTGGCTGACTTTATTCTTCAATAAGTTGTTGCATAAAGAGGTAATCCCAAACGAATGGAGTCAAACTCAAATCGTAGCCATTTTAAAAAAAAAAGGAGGATGTTCAGGGATGCAACATCTATCGAGAAATAAAGCTCATGCCACATTCCATAAAAGTCTGGGAGAAAGTGATTGAGAGAAGAATAAGAGTGAGATATCACAGAGCAAATTTGGGTTTATGCCAGGACGCGGCATATATTTGCAATACGCCAATTATGTAAGAAATACAGGTGCGCATAAAAAATTGCATATGATGTTTGTGGACCTCGAAATGGTATATGATTCGAGAGGTTTTGTGGTGGGCTTTGAAAGAAAAAAAGGGAAGACAGGAACGAGCTCCAAAGCAGACTAGAAAAACTAGCAAAAAATGCTGGAAAATGTTGGTTTCAAAATAAGCAGAACTAAAACTGAGTACATTTCTAATATTATTACAGTAACTTTGCTTGTCGAGAAATGGTGTATTATAACTATAGTAAGTAGTTAGAAGGTAAGCAGATAGCGGCCTGTTACATTAGTCTGTCATGGCGTTATTACTTCCCCTAAGTTTGACAACAGGAAATTGTGAAGAAATGGATTACATCTACGAGTAATCGGTCATCAGACTCCGCCTACAAAATAGTTTTCGAAACGAAAAACATTTGTTATCTGGGTCGCGTATAGAAAATGGTTAACGCCTGAATAAAGTTTTATAGCACGATTTGCATATATGGGTGATATGTTTATAGTTTAGAGTACCTATGTAATCTGAAAATTTGTTGCGTTTTTCAATACTTTCGTCTTAATTATGTATTTTTTCTTTATCTATAAATATTGTTTAATCTAAAGAAACTCAAGATTTAAAGGTTTCCAAAAAAAATCCAGATGAATTTTTGAGTGGCTATTGAAGAGATCCATATACCTATATTCTACATGTGAAAGTAAGTTTGTTTGTTTAATATATAACAAAAACAGTTAATGCGCTAATGTAGCCAAGGATCCGCTAAAAGAGGGAACGTTTTTCGCTCCTGAATTAAGGTGAAAAAATCATGTGAAACTTGAGCGGAAGTAGCAATTTCATCAATGCCATTACTTGAACGTTATCAATTAAATGCAATATTTAAATCATAGCAGAACAGTACCTATTCACTCAAGTTCTCCACAATTTATCAAATTGTAGATTTTATTGAAAGCGAATGTTTGTTTTTATAAAAATTTATAGTACCATAAAGAGATGTAATAAAACCTTGGTTTTTCTTAGATTAATTTGAAAATTATTTATCGATTTAACTATGGATATATCGTTTAGTAATGTTATTTTAGGCTTATCGACTTTCATTAATCAAGAAAAATCCATAACATCATAACAGTATCTACGTTGAATACATTTTTTAGAAAAGCTAAGCTTCATTATATGTTTCTCATCGAACCCTTAAGTGACGACTTTTGCAAGAAAGTTATTACGATTATTAGGTACAGATGTCTGGCTCAAAGTGTACACCGTTTGTTCAGTATATTCAGTTATAATTCATTGTCATCATAATAATTGAAGTTTGCGCCAAGCGTAGGTATATCGGGAAATAGTTTCATCAAAATTAAGTGTATAACACTTAGGTCACAATGTAAGATTAGAAAAAGTTGGAGTTCATTTGTTCGGTTGTATGTTTTTTTTTTCATCCTATTCTTGTCTTATAGCAAGAAATTGCTATAAATCTATATACTACCCATTTGTGTTTGCCCAGTATTCAAAAATTCAAATTATATTATAGTATAGGGTGTGCCTAACTACGATTTCGAGTACGTTTCAAGAGATTACACAAAATAAAATAAGTAGGAGAGGGGAGGTACTTCTTCTAAGGTGAAGTAATTTAGTCCTATTCAATACTTTATATGCTTAAGGTAAGGTTTGTTTGATTTATGGGTAATTAGTGTGTTCTAATTACGCCGATTAAAACAAACCTACAAAGTAAATAAACAACAAGTAACTTTATCCTTCCAACTCAATCGGTATTAAACAATCATTTAGGATTTGAGACGTGTCTCTTCAGTCATTGATAAAATAGACTCTGTTTTATATACCCAGAAGGATTAATTTTATCTACTTACACAGTAGATAAACACACTTAATTTAACAGGCAGATATAAATTAATACATTTGTCGAATTAAACACAATTAAGTGTTTTAATGACTAGACTACTGTAAGCAGAATATATTGGTCCTCTGGTAATCTACTTAATCGTAAACAGTTTAATCAATCTACAAAAACAAAACCATAAAGCCGGCGCAAAGAAATCGGTTACATGGTTAAAGTCATTTAAAAACATTTTAACATTACCTAACACAAATCTCACAAAAAGCATATCTTACGGAATCCCACACTATTGTCAGTTTATGTATAATACTTACAAAAGAGATAACAAATAAGACATGTGCTGCATATTTTCCCTAACAGTGAAACTACATTATAGCGTAAGATTGTAGCCCCGTCTTGTATTGCAGTCACTGATGGGACGTTAGATTTCAAACGTTGTTATTGCCGACATTGATAGTTCTATCGTGCGTTCAGTATGAACAAAAAAGTAAAAAGAGTTAACGAAAAATTGATACTTTTGAGTATGAGTTATAAAGCCACTTTAACCATGTTACACTTGTCTGACCAACCAATATCAATCATCTTCAGAAAGTTCATACAAACAACTCATTTTTATGTAGGGATCACGATCGCTTGAAATTACACTAGTGCAAAACGCTTACGTACCCGTAAACCAAAAAGCCTGGCGTCCCAATCCGCTAAACTTAGATGCGGTAACGGCTTCTCAAAAGTCACAACAGACTGCATTTTAAAATTTTCAAACTAAAATATATTATAAAAATAGAAAAATAACAATTTTGTATGAGATACAAACATTTACGCAGTTTGCGTCTAAGTTGAAAATATGACTGTCAGATAAAACATCGTGTGGTGTTCTAAATTTGAAATAATTGCTTGATTACTTTTGGCCAGCTTGTAGCAATTTAATCATCGAGTTTTGGTTGGTGAATTTAACTCTTTTTATTTCAGATATAATACAAGTAGTTTACATATATACGAGTATTACATATTCTTAGCATACTTTTTTGATTCGTAGAACTTACAATGCCTTGTATTGTACTAAGGCTATGTTAAAGGTATGGTCATTCGTAAAGCACTTGAACAAGAATATTCTTTTGATACTGAATTATAAGAAAATATATGTATCCATTCAAAAAGGCACTGTCTTGGGCTACGCTCTTTTGATAACCATTTTGTAAAATTTACAAACATTTAAACAGTTATTGGTAGATATTAAAAATCTTAAAAGTTTACAAAGTCTTAACACTTATGACCTCATTATTGTGTGTGATAAGACCTGATTATTAGATGTTTTAATTCGAAACTGTGAACTCCGTCTTTGAAGACGGAGTTCAAGAAGTTGGAATTAATGACTGTCTGAATACACGTGCACGAACGCATTTCTTGTGTTGGTTTTAACTTCTCCGGATGCAGAAAAAGTCGTCATCGCAATATAGAACACTATATCGCCTTTCGTATAGTATTTCACTAAATGCCTTCTTATACTAAATACCATAACACCAATCCCTTGCTCCGTAAAGCTACGTGTAAAAATACATTTCTACACAAAACGAAGCAATCCTATTACCTCACCGTAACAACACCTCGATTTCGCAGTAATAACAATTTCAGCGACCCGAAATTCTCGATTCAGAAGACTTTAATACACAACGAAAATCCTTTAAGACCGAATTTCTTTGAAAGGGTAAAAAAGTAGAACTCCACTTAAAACATGGCTTGTATTTTTTCACATTAGCTATACCTTAAGGTAAGTACTACATTGTGAATTTTGCTTTCTATATCCATATTTTTACTAAAGATGTGAAAGTGAATTGGTTTGTTTGTTTGTTAGCTTTCACGCCTAAACCACTAAACCGATTTTAAAATTTCTTTCACCAATTCAAAGCGCCATACATTTTTACCGCGATAACCGACATACACACAGCCGAAGCCGCAGCCAAGAGCTAGTCTAGCATAAATCTATGCATATCAAGCATATCATAATCATTAGAGTAAGTAAAGAGAAATGATAAGAGAAGTATGACTGGTTGTGAAACAAAACGGTAAGTAATAAAACGGAAGAAGTCAATCAGTCGGCCACATAAAGGAATCCCAGACACGTACTATCTGAACTGCGCTCCTTTAGATAGCCATTTGACCTTTTTAAAGAGATGGAACAAACACTAATTACTTATTTGTAAGAAAGTATATATTAATTGATAAAATTTTAATAAAACCTTTCGTGAGCTGCATATGTTTTTGTTAAAAGTATCATCATCATCAACAGCTCTTAACAGTCCACTGTTGGACATAGCACTCTTCTTAAAATGGAGGTTTTGGCCTACTATACCACGCTGGCCAGACGGGTTGGTATAGGTTTTGTTTCAAGTTTACCTTCTTTTTGCAGTGCTGTTGTTTTGCAAAGTTTGCTCCCTTAGTCTGCTTTCTTACGAAACCCACGGGATGAATAGGGGTGGTGACACTCTGTATTCTTAATCCGTCACCACATGGTTAAAAGTATACCCATGTTGTATTCACGTGTGTATTTTGTGGATGCTCAGATTGTTAGATTAGAGGTTAGATCAGATTGGCATGCTTTCGTGAGCCATATTCGTTGGGCACAAAGAATTTATGTTAATTTTTCTATTAATCTATAGATCCTTCATTCTTTAATTTTATAACGGTAGGCGTGGCGTGAATTCTTTTTTTTGTTGTTACGGCCGAACGGGCTCAAATAAAAAAAACATTTTCCCAATCGGTTCATATGAGAGTGCCTCCTCCTTTTTTTGAAATTCGATGAAAACTGGAATCCGGACTGGTGATAAATCGGTTATTGTTTAATTATAAAAATAAATACTTTAAAAACAAAGTTGAACCGACATTAAACAATACTAGTAAAGAGCACCAAAAATTAAAAAATAATTACAAATCTAAGTGAAAAAACTAATATAAGTGCGACTTTCAATGTAACAGATAAAATTATAATAGCAATAGATGCCTTCTTGTCTGTTTGAAGTCGGTGCCCGATGCACAATATTACTTACTTGTGTACATATCTCTGTAACCCAACACAAATGTATCTTGAAATAATTAAACAAGGTCAATTCATGATTATATTCTTAAAAGAATTATCCTCTAGCTCTTAAAGGTCGAGGAACCTTTCATCATTAGCTCAGCAACATGAGTTAACGACAACCAAACGCAAATACCTGTACAGCTAGAGAAACAAGCTAAAACACGTTGTAGGGGTTGTAAAATTTGAGGGTTTTCCTCGATTTTTCTAGAACCCCATCATCAGATCCTTATTTAGTTATAATAAGACCACTTAGGGAGTATATTCTTTTGATTTCAAAAATAATTTTGATAATCGGTCTAACAGTCGGTCTAACAGGTCTAACGGTAAACAGACAGAAAAATACAGTCGAATTGAGAACCTCCTCTTTTGTGTTTTTAAAGTTAATCGATTTCAAAACCATAAAAGAGGAGGGACTACAAATAAGAATAATAAAGAAAACATACATTTATGTATCTCTCATTATTTTTCTATTTACGATACTAAAACAATAATAACGAAACAAGCAACTACACTCGCTCTGCGGTCTGAAATAAAATTTAAACTTACGAGTATTTACGACCCCGGCCTGGGAGTATGGGCCCGGTTTGTACAATTCACTGCTCTGAGCAATTTATACTTAACAAGTTCTAACTTATCATAAGTTGGAATTCGAATAAATTGGTGGTAAACTCTCTAATCTATGTATTTAACTGTAAAAAGTCTATAGTTAGCTGTACATCATCCTCTTTTTTTAAATGACAGTATAGAAAATATATGTGGATGAAGCCTTCTTTAAGTAAGTTATGCCTGTTAGGTAGTTGAGAGCTTTCCTGTATTTTTTTGCTGTTTGTTTTAAGGACTCTGCTCACGTATTAAGGTTAGTAATAACATAAATCAAAAGTATTTATCAAAACCTATTAATTTCGTTTTTTTTTAATATAGAACTATCTTTACAGAAAATCGATGACATATTGATTTTAAGTCTAACGAAAGAACTACTTAATACCAGTTTTCCTTGATTCCGTGATGTTTCTCCGGTCGAGCCTGGCCCACATGTGCCAGAGCATTGCTCTTCCTAGAAAGTTTATACCATGACATATAAATAGAATAATCATCAGAAGTTGTGCACCTCTGAGGTTACCGTAATGCACATATCAGTAATGATAAATTAGTATTACTGAACTTCTCTTTCATCTGTCTTGTAAAGCGTCGTTCAGAGATTTGTTAATATTTTAACTTTGAAACTTTATACTCGTGAAATGGGACCCTAGCGTGGAGTTCCCTTTTAACAATAAAAGCCATTTACACTGTCAAGCTCGAGATTAATGAACTATTCATGTTACTGCACACGGTGAAAATATTTGATTAAAATTATCTACATTACTTTTTTTATGACATTATTTTCTGTAGACCAAAAATAAAATTGGTTTATATGTTATTGCTGATTAAGTAGTTTTGAATCAATTGTGCCATAAGTTCTGAAAGTGGATATAAGTGAAATGAATACACAATATGTTTTAATTTTATCAGTGGATAATTACTTGTTTATTACTTATTATAAAAATCAGAATTATGTTGAAATATTTAAAACATAAGTCTTGGTATAAAACAGACATAATTTTAATATATATTTTTAGAAGTGCAAAAAAAAGCAACAATCTTTCCACTAGCTTTTAGATTAAGGCTTTACCTGACGTCATATAAAAAATTTAAAAGATCTGGTTATGGACTATAGCATAAAATAAAATATTACTGAAATATAGATTCAATAATACCTGTCGGTGCTTACAGGCATTTTCTTTCTAGGTTACACATGAGGTCCCACCATAACAAAACTTGAAGACGGATCACTATGTGTTTTAGTCGGTTTGAATCCAAAACTAAGGCTATTTCACACAAAAAAAGACTTAATAATCATTTTGTTGTTACCTTATCATTGGTTTATATTTGTAGACAAGAGAATATCGCGATTTGACTACACTCCGTATTAATTGTAAGCCCATCCACAACTCATTTAAGTTACAAAAATAACCTGACCCTCTTTAAATTATCAATTAACTTTTAAACCCGTCAAACTGCGGAGCTTAGGTTGTCTTTAAAAGTTATCTGCGCTAATAATTTGAGGACTAAGAAGACTCTTAATAATCCCTCACATTAATTATAAAGGATTGTATCGAACCAATGAAAACTCATTCCACTTATAAAATGACCAATCGAGGCTCAACAAAAACCATTTCAAACAGCGATTCGCACGTTCCAAGTTAATCAATGGTTGTATTTGAACTTTTGCAATAAAGCCCTAAAACGGAGAAGGGAAATTGGTTTGCAAAAAATGAACCTTGTATACTAACTTTTTAATATGATAAAGATAAAATTCGGGTCACAGTGCTATTTATAAAGACGAATTGCTGCTGGAGTATTTTCCTTTTGCTCGTTACGCTTGTCTTATATCACGACTCGTTTCTGATTGGCAGTTTTCACTCTTTGTATTTTTAATAGATTTGCGAAGAATTTTTCAAACTTGGAAATGACACTTTGTAATTTCAATTTCAAGTTTTATATACAAATTTGACTTATCTTGCTGAGGGGTAACAGAGTTATTGTAACTTTGGATTAATTTTGAAACTAATCTTGGGTCACCTGACGGTAAATAGCCACATTGCAACGTTAGCAACACTAAATTTCAATTAAA